AGAAGTGCACTTTAAATTCAATTTACTTAATTATATAATTTATTTAATTTACTTAATTGTCATTTAATGAATAAATTCATGTTGAGGTAACATTGTCTGATATAAAACGAGCTTTAAATGACAGATAGCTTCTGTCCAGGAAGAAGAACTTGAAGTCACGTGTTATGCTCTTTACCACGCAGCAATAGCCCTAGCGTAGATAATACGAGCAAAGGTAGAAGGCCGTATTGATTCGACCCTGAACTTTGTCCCTGGCAGATTAAAACTCTATAATAAAATATAAATAGCCTCGTACATAAAAATGTCCACGTGCGTGTACGCGACCAAAATGTAATTTCTGTTAATAAAAAAAAGGGTTACAACAGAATAATAACTAATAATAAACTTTAGTAAGTGAATTAGCTTGAGTAACCAACTCGTAAATAAAGCAATAAATTAGCAACAGAAAAAGGCTAGAATTCTACATTTAATTTCCTAAGTTCTTTACAAGGGCGAAATATTTTTCGGGAAAAGCATTTCCATTGAGAGTTCTGACAACCTTCTGCAGAATTCTATGAATTATTCTTAACAATCATAGCGGTATAAATATAAAATATTAATACAAAATATTAATTTTTTTACAACCATTTTATATAGAAAGTAAAAAAGAAGAGAAAACTGTGAATTTTGATGATAATTTTTCAATGAATATCGTAAGCTAATATACGACTAATATACGAATTTTAAAGCCTCACAATACCACTTAGATTGTACTATTGTATAATTTGAAAACATAAACGTTTGTTACTACATGAAGCGAACGTCATGAATAAGCTGTCAGACGTGAGACGTGAAATCATAAGTTTCGCTAGGCGAAACGCATCCGGAAACATGATGAACACGATACTTTGGTTTTAGCGTTTACGAAAGGATAGCGTGACCACAGCTATGGCATGCGCATCGTGAACTTGACAGTGACCGATAAAGCATGTTCATTTGCGAAATACGCTTCGTTATGTAGTCGTCATGCCCCGCCGTTTGCTTGAGAGGATCCTCAGATACTGTTACCCGTTTGACACATTACATCCCCGATTACTTTGACATATTAAACGGATTCAATGGCTAAGTCGAGCAGCAATTTAAAGAATCAATTAATAATTGAATTAATTTGCAAGATCATTAATAATGCAGTAAGTGTTATCGTGGCGTGCAGCCAATTTTGCTTCTAAGTGCCGCGTTTGTCTAAAATTATAATCGCCTCGCACGTTACGAGATAAAACACTTGGCATGCATTTCGAGGGTAAGAGCTTTATTAATAAATTGATACTTGAATTGAAATGAAATGTATATCAAAACATGATAAATAATGACGTTATATTTATCACAGACGCGATAATTACATCTAATATACTTTGTGATATTCGACTGTTTGCGCTTCCATTCGTAATTATAATAAAGTACGATAAATTTTAAAGATTTTATCGTAATCAATAGAAGTTTTTGCTATATTTTTATATATTCATTTTTTTATTTTTATATTTTATCAAATGAACAGTCAATGTATTAATAATTTAATCTATTTAATCTAGCTAGAAACTTAATATATATTTTTTTCTAATTTTTTAGAAATTTATTACTAAATACAATTCTGTAATGAGATACTTTTATATATCAAAAGTTAATCTACTAGATCTAGTAGATCTAGTATAATTTGTTTCCAAGAGAATTAAGAAAAATTTAAACTTACTCTCCTTCGTGCTAATTGTTGATCAAGTCGTTTTCTGCAGCTTATGAGACATTCCCATATACCAGTACCCGACCTGCCATTTTGATAATGGCCATTATTACCATTGCCGTTTTGATGCCGGTAATCCTCTTCAGTGAACTCGCAGACATCGAGTGGATGTCTCGATCCATCAGGGCTACCCAGCAGCGCGGTTGCCGAGAGCTGGTGACTCGCCGATCCGCTATAAATTTTCCAAACGTTTAATGATATATATTATATGGATATTGATACAATATAATATATAAATATTATACACAAATATTAACTTTTTAATGAAATTTTATAATTATCGATCACTTAATACTTTAATCATTTGATGTCTCATATAAATTTCACCATTTTTCAATTATTCATTATTCTCTATAAAATTTTCAAAACTATTTTATGATTATGAGATTATTGAAAAATATTATTGTAAGATATATATAAAACAGATATTTTATATTGTTGGAATATTTAATTTATATTGTTGGAAAGTTTGTTTAAATTATGATTGCTATCGTTGATTATGTAAAAATAACAAAGATCGAGTCAAAAGAGAATAACTATGGAATTTATAATTTCCGTAAAATCCAATGAATTTAAAGAAGACATAACCAAACGCTAAATGATTATTTTCATAACATCGATCATTTAAGTTCGTTTAAGTTCTGAAGGAATTTCGAAATTGTTTTATCGCGTTTGAATGATTTATACTTACGATATGATAAAGTAGAACAATGTTCTCTTTTTGATATTTACATAAGTCTGCAAGTCATAAAATTTCCTAGCAAATTAATGTGAAAATCACATAAACGCATAAAATATTTAAATATTATTACGGTAAAAAGAAATGTAATGTAAGAAAAGAAATGTAAGTTTAAACTACTACTATACAATTGCTCTTTTTTAGGACTATTTCTTATTTAAGATTATTTTTTAAAAATTTCTGGTAAAAATGTACTTCCTGTTTATATATTTTATATATATATATATATATATATATTATTAGTAGATATTATATAGAATATTATTATTAATAATTTATTTATGTGTTATTTGCACTAAATTATTTACACGAAAAAAATCTCTTTTTCTCTTTTTATAATAATCAAGCTTTACATTTAAGCATTAATGATCAATTAAGAAATAATGCGATTTAAATAGTATTCTTAAAGTTTCTTAAAGTTCCATTGTCAATTTTCTATTAACATGTTATAATAAACGATTTGTAAAATGTTCAAAAAGATGATTGAACTATCATTTTGGATGTAAAGCTTCTCTCGATTCTAGTCGATATTTCGCGAATACATGTCAAATGTCCGCGTTAGATGATGGATGTGAGCAACTGACCTCTTACAGGTTTCCATGCGCAAACTCTTAATTTATTTCTAGGACGAACGGAAGAAGTACGCAGAGATAAACCGCTTTTGGCTACCGTCCCAGAGGTTGAGTTTGCAAACTGCTTAGGGAAGTTACAAGGTATACAGGGTACCTCGTACGTAGCTACCGCATCACTTTTCATTTATAAAATTCTGAGTCAATTTTCAGTCGCACGCACGACCTTTTCTTTCTGAAAATTTTAGAAATAAATTAAGAGTTTGCGCATGGAAACCTGTAAGAGATCAGTTACTCACATCCATCATCTAACGCGGACATTTGACACGTTTCGCTATTTTCTATTTTCAAAGCAAGGTTTGCATTTTGGACATTAATTGTTTTAATATATCTAAAAATATTGAATCAAAACATAGTTCACACAATATTAAAGTATGGTATAATTACCAATTTGTGTCTCTATGCAATTGAGTTTTCCAAGAAACTATTCATGCTTAATTGCTTATAATCCGATTTGCTTGTCTTTTATGCTTGCCTTTTTATGAAAAAAATAAAACGATTTTATATTGATTTAACCGTCTCTAAATGATAGATAGATATGTTTAGAACACCCTATGTAGAATCACAAGTTCTTACCTACCCTACTGCAATGCGACCATTGCACATTTGCTCCATATCCCAGAAAACTGAAATTTATTTGTATCTCTTTTCTTATGATTCTGTGTTGAGGCATACCGAAACTCTTCACTAGGATACGCTCGTCCTAAATTACAGTCATCAACTACATTTTCTTCTTACTTTTCTTTATATATTAGAAGATTAAATCTTTTTACATGATTTTACGTTTTATATATTTATAGAAGTTTAATTATGTTAACGAGAATACTAATTAGTACGATTATTTTCTTCACTTATTTGATAATAAATAGATTTTTATAAATAAACATTTTATTTTGTATTAATAATTTATTTAACAAATATGTTAATGAAATTACTATAAATACTATAGTTTACAAAATTATATTCTTTCCACATCTTGCTATTAATTAATGCTCTTTTTATTTATTGCTTTTTTTATTTATTTGATAATAAAAAGGTTTTTATAAATAAATATTTTATTTTATAATAATAATTTATCTAATAAATATGTTAATGGAATTAGATTATAGTTTATAAAAATTATATTCTTTCTATACCTTTCTAGAAAATATTATTGTTCTTTCAATCGTCACAACAAAAGAAAACCCCTCAAAGAAAACTAAA